CTACTACGACTACGACTACGACTACGACGATTACTACTACTACTACGACTACTACTACTACTACTACTACTACTACTACTACTACGACTACGACTACGACTACTACTACTACTACTACTACTACTACTACTACTACTGATGATAATACTTAGTATCAGTATTATTGTTATTGCTATTATTGTCACTAGTCTACGAAGTCGTCCCCAGACATGTTTTTGCTATGTTTGAAGATCCTCCTGTGGAGGGACGCGCCCGACTTAAGCCTCCACCGAGTCGAAGGGGTTGCCGCCCGCCGCGGGGCTGGGGGGCTCGAGTTGGTCCATGCTGATGGCGCGCACGGGGCGGTCGTCGGCGGGCTCGCTCCTGCTCCTGCGCGGGGGCGGCGAGGCGCACGGCGGGCACGCGCGGCGAGAGAGCCTGCCATGCTCGGGGCTTCTTGGGCCGTGGACGTGTGGACAGACGTCACGCCTCGGCTTCATGTTGTTCCCATCCGACTTAGGACCACATCCCAGAAATGATTTCGAGCACCCAGAAAAGTGTCAAAAGAGTGTCGAGACAGTGTCGAAACAGCGTCGGGCGAGTGTCTCCCAGGGCCCGACGCGTGAAAACCATCGAGTTTCGGTACCTTTGGCGGGGGCTGCAGTCGGACCCGCAGCCCTCCGCGACACCGAGCTTCAGCGTCCGGTGGCGCGCACGGCGCGATGGGCGCGACGCTGTCGGACGATTTGAGGTCGCGTGCTCCGGCGTCAGCAATGACGTTTTTGGGGGGGTCTGGGGGCGGAGGCAGCGCGGGAAGACGTGCGTGAAGCTTCGCGGAGGGGTGCAGGGGCAGAAGAGCATCTGCTGCGAGAGCGTCGGGCCCTCCGCCGGCCCAGCCCCCGAAGCACCTCCAGGAAGCAGCAGGAAGCAGCGGTGCGGGGGGCGCCCGCGCCCGGGCCCCTGGAGGGCGGTCGGGCGGAGCCCCCCGGAGCACCTCCACGGACGCAGATCCTGCCCAGAAGGCACCCGCAGAGCACCTCCCGGCAGGCGCGCAGAGCACACCAGGGGCACACCCTCCCCGAGCCGACCTCGACCTTCTCCTTGCCTTGGCCCGACTGAGAGCTGCACACCCTCCCAGAACCGACCTCGACCTCCTCCCTGCCTCGGCCCGACGGAGAGCTCAGGTGGGGCTGAGCAGCGCCTGGGCATCGGCGAGGCGCCGCCGACGGAGCGGCGCCAGGCCCTCGACCGCAGAAGCCCCCCAGCGCTCTGCAGGCAGGCCGGGGCACGGAGAAGGGGGACGGGACTCTGTACACCGACGTCTTCTACGGACCCGCACTGCAATGCGCACGAGAAAGCGGGTCCTGGTGTGTGTATATATATATATATGTATATATGCATATATATGGGATCCTGGCGTAATTACACATGTTTCGTGGCTTCCCCTGGGAAAAACGGGGGAACAGGCATACACCACACCACCCCGACGTCGTCCCCGACCCCCACAGAGTCCTGGGACTGAAGAAAACAACCCGCCACTGGCAATGTAATTCTGTGTTCCGGCTTCCGGCTCGGAGGCCCCCCAAGCGGCGAGGGCCGGGGCGAGGCGCGGAGCCGAAGCCTCCGCCCCCGGGGCAGCTCCCACCCCGGCGGCTGCCCCTGGAGAAGAATTGTCAAGGGGCCCAAGGACACACGGATAGATACACACACACACACACAACCCCCCAGGATTCCCCGAGTATTTGTCCATCTGCTCTGGATCTTCGTCTTCCCCCCCACTTCCCATACTCCCATCTTTTCCTGGGAGTCGACGGTTCAGTGTGTCTGCGTGTTTTTTCCCCCTCCTAGAGAATGGCAGCGTAGGCAGGGGTGACCTCTGGTGCGCGGCTCTGGGGGGCGGCGGGAGTGGGCGGGGGGGTGGGGGCGTGGAGGGTGTGGGGGGGGGGGGGGGGGGGCAAATCCAAGCGCGAAAACCCATCCCAGAGATCCGGCGCTCTAAAAAAACGAGAGCGGCGGGATTGGGGCCGTTTTCAGCCCCTCTAGGGCCCTCGCCGGGCCTTGGGGCCGTGAAACAACGACCCAGGACGACAAACCTGCCCTAGGGAACTGGTTCAGGTCTTCGAAAAAATTTGAGCGACCGGGTGTCTGGGGTGATGGGAGGGACTCCTGTGTAGGCTCGCACCGGTATGCCACTCAGGCGAAGGGCCACTCTTGCGTGTGGCGGGTCCGACTTCCGGGTTGCAAAGCCGGTCTCGGCGGCCGTTGGGGACGACTCGACGAGGCGCAGCTGCTGAAGGCGTCCCGAGGCTGGAGGACCGCCAGGAACCGACGAATTTGTCCGAAAACCCTGACCAAAATCTACCGAAAACCGCTTCCCGAAGCGGGAAAGTGCCGAGACGCGATAAAAACACCCGAAACCTCCCAGACCTCCGACGTCATGATTTTGTCATGGCGTCGACCCTCTAGAGGTCTGGACCCATTCCCCAAGATCGGTTTTTGATCCCCCGTGTTTCTTAGACGGCCCCGAGGCCCGGTGTTGGAACCCGCCGGCCGAAAATTGCAAAAACGTCCCGTGGTGATTGTTTCATGACCTGAGGAAGTGGGGGCTCGATGCTTCGTTCAATGCGCGCCTTCCCCGCTCACGACTCCTGGCCGGCTCTAGAGACGATCGACGACGACGACGACGACGATCGACGACGACAACGACGACAACGACGACGACGCCGACGACAACGACGACCACGGGCGACGACGACGACGACAACGACGACGACGACGACAACGACGACGACCACGACGACGACAACGACGACGACGATCAACGACGAACAACGAAGGACGACGACGATCAACAACGACGACGACGAAGACGATGACGACGACGGACGACAAAGGACGACGACGATCAACGACGACGACGACGACCACGGACGACGACGACAACGGCGACGACGAAGGACCACGACGATCGCCGACGACGACGAAGACGATGACGACGAAGGACGACAAAGGACGACGACGATCAACGACGACGACGACGATCAACGACGACGACGACGACGACGACGACTGTCGAGGACGACGACAACGACGATGACGACGACGACGATCGACGAAGACCAAGACAACGACGACGACGACGACGATTGACGACGACGATTGACTACGACGATCGACGACGACGACGACGACGATCGACGACGACGACGGCAGCGACGACGACGATCGACGAGGACGACAATCGACACGACGATCGACGACGACGGCGACGACCGACGACGACGACGACGAGGCAACGACGGTAACGACGGAAGCGGCGGCGACGAAAAAGACGACGACGACCACAGGCGACGAAGGACGACGACGATCGACGACGACGACGAAAAGACGACGACGAAGACGACGACGGAAGACGAAGGACGACGACGATCGACGACGACGACGACGACGACCGACGACAACGACGACGACGGACGAAGACCGACGACGACGACGACGACGACGACGATCGACGACGCCGATCGACAACGATGTAACGACGACGACGACGACGACGATCGACGACGACAACGACGACGACGACGAACGACGACGACGACGAAGATCGACGACGACGACGCCGCCAACGACGACGACGACGATCGACGACGACGATCGACGACGACGATCGGCAACGAGGAGCAACGACGACGCCGAGGAACGACGAAGCCGCCGATCGACGCCGCTCCGCTCCGCTCCGTGCGCGCCCTCCCCGCCCGCGGCTCCTGGCCGGCCCCGCCCGCTCCAGGCTCTCGCCGCGAGCGGCGCTGGGCTCCTGCAGGCTGGCAAAATGGGCGCCCGCGGCAGGGCAGGGCGGCGGGCTCTCCGAGCGCGTCGGCGGGGCCCGCTCCCCCCCCCGGGGCAACATCGAGCAGATCGGCAGAGCCAACCCTCCGCCTCCTCCTCCTCCTCCTCCTCCTCCTCCTCCTCCTCCTCCGCCTCCGCCTCCTCCTCCTCCCTCCTCCTCCTCCGCCTCCGCCTCCTCCTCCTCCTCCTCCTCCTCCTCTTCCTCCTTCCCTCCTCCTCCTCCTCCTCCTCCTCCTCCGCCTCCTCCTCCTCCTCCTCCTCCTCCCGAAAGGCAAGATCGAGCAGATCGCCATGGCAAACCCCCCAGATCCAGGCGCTGCAGCTGTTCCACCACGGGCGTGCTCGCCCCAATCCGGGCTCCGCGACGGACTGGCCTGCCGCTGCGGCACCCGCCGCCCTCCACGGCCAGGGGGGGGATCTGGGCGGAGGGGAGGCGGCGTCTGGTTATTCTCACGGCGTGCGCCCCCAGAGGTCTGGACCACTTCCCAGGGGCCGGGCCAAATCTGCATCCCAAGTCCATTTGTGGACAGTCCCCCGGGGCCCGGAGAGGGCCACCGCCGAGGGCCGAAAACATGAATACTCGTACACATGCTGAAGTGTATGTATGTATACACGCAGGGATAAACACAACACACACGCGCGCGCGTACGCACGCGCGCACGCACGCACGCACGCATGCACACAGCACGCACACATACACAGACACGCACACACACACATACACACACACACGCGCACACACACACGCACACACAAACACGCACACACACACATACATACACATTATTCCTCCATCGTCGCGAGATTCTAAAACGAGTCTCCCTTACAGACAGCAAGCATAACCAATTATCCCAGAGCGACCCTGACTAGGAGTTGGAGCCCCGAGGAGAGCAATATCTATGATATGCTATGTTATGCTGCGCTATGCTATGCTATGCTATGCAGTGCCATGCTATGCTGAGCTATGCTATGCTATGATATGATATGATATGCTATGCTATGTTATGCTTGGTTGCGCTATGCTACGCTATGCTGTGCTAATGCTGCGCTGCGCTATGCTGCGCTGCGCTAGGCTAAGCTAAGGTAAACAGGCCATGCTAAGCTAGACTAAGCTAAGCTAGGCTAAGCTAAGCTAGGCTAGGCAAAGCAAAGCTAAGCTAAACCGATCTAAGCTAAGCTAAGCTAAGCTAAAATAAGCTAAGCAAAGCTAAGCTAAGACGAGATACGCTAAGCTAAGCTAAGCTAAGCTAAGCTAAGCTAAGCTAAGCTAAGCTAAGCTACACAAAGCTAAGCTAGGCTAAGCTAAGCTAAGCTAGGCTAGGCTAGGCACAGCTAAGCTAAGCTAAGCTAAGATGAGATAAGCTAAGTTAAGCTAAGCTAAGCTTAGCTAAGCTTAGCTAAGCTAAGCTGGGTGAACCCAGGGGGCGCAACTAGGGGAATCGCGGGGCGGATCCTGGGGGAACCGCCCAGGGCGGGGTCCACTACCCGGCCCCTTTAAGCTCAGAGAGTAAGAACCCTTCTAGGCAGAGCCTAGGTAAGGAAAAACAGTTATCCCAGAGCGACCCTACCTAGGAGTTGGAGCCCCGAGGAGAGCAATATCTATGCTATGCTATGTTATGCTGCGCTATGCTATGCGATGCTATGCTATGCTATGCTGAGCTATGCTATGCTATGCTATGCTATGCTATGCTATGCTTGGCTATGCTATGCTATGCTATGCTGTGCTAACACTGCGCTGCGCTATGCTGCGCTGCGCTAAGCTAAGCTAAGGTAAGCTAAGCTATGTTAAGCTAAGCTAAGCTAGGCTAAGCTAAGCTAAGCTAAGCTAAGCCAAGCTAGGAGAAGCTAAGCTAAGCTAAGCTTGGCTAGGCAAAGCTAAGCTAAGCTAAGCGAAGCTAAGCTAGGCTAAGCTAGGCTAAACTAAGCTAAACTAAGCTAAGCTAGGCTAGGCAAAGCTAAGCTAAGCTAAGCTAAGCTAAGATGAGATAAGCTAAGCGAAGCTGGGTGAACCCAGGGGGCGCAACTGGGGGAACCGCGGGGCGGATCCTGGGGGAACCGCCCGGGGCGGGGTCCACTGCCCGGCCCCTTTAAGCTCAGCGAATAAGAACCCTTCTAGGCAGAGCCTAGGTAGGGAACAATAAAAACATTCAGGATTGGACATACCTAGCTTAGCAGGTGGATGGACTGGACGTGGCAGTCGCGCGCAAGAAAGAAGAGCGCTGCGCTAGAGGAGTGGGCGTGCAAGAACATTCCATGGCACACGCAGACCGCACAAAAGAGAGGAAAGCAAGGAGGACAAAGAGAGCCGAAATACGCGCGCCCACACACACAAATACATACACACGCATGCACACACACACACACAAACACGCTCACACACTTTGCTTCCACCAGCCAGACGACAAGCCCACAGTGAATACTAAGCCGGGGCACGCCTAGTTCGATCCGCACCCCCACGCACACACACACACAAACAACAAAAAAAACGAAACAACGAACCGACAAACGAACAAACATATCCTGCAGTGCTGGGTCCCTGTTTTGAAGAGACCGTGCGCCCCGCGTCCCACCTCTTCCTCCTCCTCCTCCTCCTCTTCCGCCTCCTTTTGCCGCTGCAGCCTGTTTTCCAATTTTCTGGGATGACGGCGGTCATCGGCCCTGCCACCCCCCACCCCACATGACGTCACGCTCCGCGCCAGCGGCGTTTGGGAGTGCCTAGAGATGACAGAAGCCAAGCAGGAGCAGCATGCAGGTGGCGATCAAAACCACAGCACCTGTGCACACCACAATGCTCGCGTGCACCACAGCGCGCGTGTACACCACAACGCCTGCGTACACCACAACCGCCGTGTGCAACGCAGCGCCTGTGTTCACCACAGTGCTTGCGTGCACCACACACCCGCGTGCAACGCAGCGCTGGTGTACACCACACTGCCTGCGAGCACAGGACAGGTAGAAGGAGCATGTAGGTGAGGGTCTGCTGCGGACAGCTACGCACCACACCAAGGAAGTGCTGACAATAGAATGCGATGTTCTTCCCTCCTCCCTCCTCGTCGTCTTCCTCCTCCTCCTGCTCCTCCTCCTCCTCCTCCTGCTCCTCCTCCTCCTCCTCCTCCACCGCCTCCTCCTCTTCCTCCTCATCCTCCTCCTTACTTTCGTCTTCCTCCTCCTCCTCGTCCTCCTCCTCCTCCTCCCTCACCCTTCTCCACGTCGTGCGGGTCGGCGCTACAGTGCACGTGCGCATCTCAGTGTGCACCGCAGAATGGTCGATTGAATCAGTCCGTTTGGTTCTCGGACGGCCAATTCTGCGGGAGTATTCTGTACGCAGATGGGAGGAATTATGATGATGCGGGAGGACTCGGGAGGACTCGTCGACTCCTACGGCGCTCCTTGGATTCCTTTCCAAATCGTAACGAAAACAATTATTGGCTGTGGAATCCACAGGCGCTCCACTTTATCATAAGAGTTCTTCAACTTCTATATACAACAATTGTGATATGTTGCACACGGTTGCTGTGGTGCACACCGGCGCTGTGGTGCACACAGGCGCTGTCGTGCACGCGGGCACTGTGGTGTAGACTCGTGCCGTGTTGCACACGGCTGATGTGGTGTACGCAGGCGCTGTGGTATACACAAGCGCCGTGGTGCACGCAGGCACTGTGGCACACACTGGCGCTGTGTTGCACGCGAACGCTGCGGTGTACATAGGCGGTGTGGTGTACACATGTACACAGGCGCTGTGGTGCACGCAGGCACTTTGGTGCACACGGGCGCTGTGGTGAAGATCGCCACCTACATGCTGCTGTTTCCCGTCCTCGGTCATTTTTAAGCATTCCCAGACGCCGCCGGCGCGAAACGTGACGTCATCGGCCCCCTCCCCGCCCAAAGATGACAGCCGTCGTCGGCCCGGAATAAAAAACTGGTTTGTGCCCCCCTCATCCCTTGCCTTGAACCCTCCGCATGTCTCTGTTTCGGCACACCTTTCACACGTTTCGTGGCCCCATAGGGGGCTCTACCGAAGGCTACAACGGCAAGGCCCGCATGGCGCACCCGCTCCCAATCTGGCACACACACACACACCTCACACGCTTCGTGGCCCGTAGGGAGCTCCGCCGAAGGCCCCAACGGCAAGGTCCGCATGGCGCACCCGCACCCAATCCGGCACACACACACACACACCTCACACGCTCCGTGGCCTAATGGGGAGCCCCGCCGAAGGCCCCAACGGCAAGGTCAGCATGACATACAAGCACCCCATGAGGCAAACACCTCACACGCTGCGTGGCCTAATGGGGAGATCCGCCGAAGGCCCCAACGGCAGGGTCCGCATGGCGTACCCGCACCCGAATCGGCACACCAGTTACACGCCTCGTGGCCCCATAGGGAGCTCTACCGAAAGCCCAGAGGGCAAGGTCCGCCAGGCGTATCCGCAACCCATTCGGCACACCCTTCACACGCTCCGTGGACTAAAAGTGAGCCCCGCCGAAGGCGCCAACGACAGGGTCCGCATCGCGCACCCGCACCTCATTCGGCACACCGCACTCTTCGTGGCCCCAAGTGGCTCCGCCGAAAGCCCCAACGGCAGGGTCCGCATGGCGCACCCGCACCCCATTCGGCACACCACTCACACGTTTCGTGGCCCATAGGGAGCTCCAACAGAGGCTCCTGCGGCAGCGTTCGCGTGCATCCGCGCCGCACATGTCGACCCCCCCCTTCGCACGCTTCGCGGCCCAATGCGGAGTGCCACCGAAGACTCCTGTGGCAGCGAAGACTCCTGTGGCAGCGTTCGCATGCGTCCCGGCCGCACGTGTCGGCAACCCCCGCACGCGCTCCGTGGTCCCATGGGGAGCTCCACCGAAGGCACCGGTGGAAACGTTCGCGTGCGTCCCCCAGCCCATTTCGGCACACCCAGAACTCCAAAGAAGGCTGCTGTGGCAGGGTTCGCATGCGGCCCCCCAGCCAATC